TTGAATGTTGAAAAGTGAATTTTAGGTTGTATGGATTAAAATTTAGATAATGCTTAAATAGCTCTAGGGATGTTAAATCACCTTTCCAAATGAAGATACAATCGTCTATGTATCTCTGCCATAGGACCAGGTTTGCTACTGCTGGGGAATTGTTCCTCCAGGTGTGCCACCAACAGGCTGAATTGATCCTCCTGGCACATTTTGGGGGACTCAGTCCTGGTTCCCGCAGCTACCCGGAACTCCTCTTGATCCGCCGGGTCTGCAGCATCTGCTTCTCCTGGATGGATCCCTCCTGCTAGTTTTGTGGTGGATTTCCGGGGTCCCTGGGATGTGTAGGGGGTTTTGGATTCAACTCGATGCCTCTTGGCAGATGCATGGTCTCCCGGTTCTAGACAGTTATATGGGACCGCTTAGCGAGCTTGGGCTAGCGAGTGCCTTGCTAGGGACATGGATCGCATTTCAGCACCTGTGACTGCAATTCTTCATTTCCTACCGACCTTATTCGAGGCTGTCCATGCGTATCACTATTAATTTGTATAGGCCTGCCATTTCTTCTGCTCATCAAGGTTTTCACCGTTGCCCAGTGGGCAAACATCCTTTGGTGTGTCGTTTGCTTCAGGGATCACATTTGTCGCACACGCCTACACTTTGTTATTCCTCCACTTGGGATGTCTCTTGCAAGTTGGCTCTCTTCGGTTCCTGGCCTCCTAACACAGATCTATCCTTACGGCAGTTGTCGGCCAAGTTGGTCACCCAACTCTGCCCCATTTGTTGCAAGAGGGTCTCGTATGTGAGGTATCTGGATTACGATCCACAGTCTTTCACTCGGGACGGGGTGTCCTTTAACATATGCAGATGCACTAAGACAGCTATTCGGTATCATACCCAGCTTTTCCAGCTTCTCCGGCGTTGTGGCCTGTTGCTTGTTTATGCAAGTCTGAGCTTCGGACTAGTGCGCATCGTTCTATATCATCACCACAGCTTTTTCTCTCACTTCGCCATCCATTTTCTCTGATTTCCAGTACTACCTTGGCTCGCTGGGTGAAGTGGGTGATGTTGCAGACCGGTGTGGACACGTCTGTTTTTGGCGCGCATTCTTCCCGGAGGGCGTCGGCCACTTCTATGGTGGCTTCAGGTACACGTCTGGAGGACTTGATAAGAATGGTGAACTGGTCGCAAATTTTACTTTCGGCTGGTTACTCGCGTTTTTTCGGCGGTGGTTGGTCAGCTTTAAACTTGCAATATGAGCCTCTGTGTCGTAACATAAAATTACATGATTTTGCTATTTCATGATGAAAAGTCATGAAGTTATGAAAGACACGGAGGCGAGTATTGTCCCACCTTACTGAGTTTGTTTAACTTGTTTTCTCACTACCAGCTGTTTTTTCTATCATATAGGGATTTCATGGTATGGTATATTATGTTGATTACACTGTATTTGTTTAGTGTTTTATTATTCCAGTGTGCTCTTGTTTGAGTTTTAATTTTATGCACTATTGGTTTACACTGTTTTGTACAATGACCTGATGCATGAGGGGTCCATATTGTTTTGCATTTGCAGTTTGGTTTTAGTACCAATGTAACCATTGGGCTCCTGTTCTTTGTGTTTTCACAGCTTGATTTGGTATTGCTCGATGGTCCTCACTTCTTCCCGGTGAGTTTTCGCTTGAGATGGCTGGATTCCGTTGCTGTCTTGCAGTTTGTTTCCGGTTGATAAGTTTCATTGACTGGCATTCACTGGACTCTGTTGCCATGTTTTCCGGATGTTGGGACTTTCCGTTTGTTCCTGTTTTCTGTCTCTCCTCATGATGTTTTGCATCTCAAAAGAAAGAGGAAGGTTTTAGAGGCGGTGCTTACTGTTATACTGGGATTTGGATGGGGATTGGCTGGTGTTTCACTGTATATGTTCTATTTTTCTATGTGTGTTCTTTGCTGCAATCGGTGGAGAGTAAAGAAAGGGTTAAGCAATATGAGCCTCCGTGTCTTTCATAAAATCATGACTTTTCGTCATGAAATAGCATAATCATGTAATTTGTTTCTGTTCTATAAACACACTGTCTAAATCAAATCACTGTATATTGTACATACACAATCATTTGATTACAATTTATTTATTTTTACTTATTGTTTCTTTGTTTCATTTGTTTTCTTTTTACTTTTCTTTTTTTTTTTTTTTGTATATGCTATTTTGTTTGTTTTGTGAATTCAGAAGAATTAAGGTTTTAGAACAACATTATACCTCTGGTAAATGCATCCCATAATAGTTGCAGACCTAATAACTATAAAGAACATGGGATGTAATGGATCAAAGATTAATCAGAACACTGAATCATACAGAAGGCCAGCATAAACTTGGATCTTCAAACAAAAAAATCCAAATAATTACCGTTCAAGAGTAGCATGTTATAAAAATTAACTCATAAAATATAGCAGTCATTAAGCCATCAAAGCTTCCGAATGCAAAATGTGGTTATGAAGTATCACACAAAATATCTAATGCTATAAACTGGATACCCAACTATTGAGACGTGAAAAATTAGGGACAAGCTATTTAGTGAAGACTGGGTTCCCTCAACCCAGATACCCAACCAGTCTCATAACCTACCACTTATGCCCAAAGCAATACTAAAAAAAAAGCAAAACAAATGTACAGCAACTATGCACAAAACAAAATATAAAAGATAAATGGAGCAAGTGAAATCCAATTATCTGTAGGGACAAGCAGTTGCTCAATTTAATAAGTAAACTTCTGAAGATTAGCTGATTGACTTTTGCGTAGTACCAATCCATCAAGAAGTTTCCAAATAATATATACAAAACGTGAGGTCTTAACAGTTATAAACAGCTCCTAAGTACACTCCAGCAAATTACTGTGATCTGGCACTAATGTAAAAAAAAACAAAAAAAACAAAAAAAAACTATGCCCTCAAAAAGAAAAAAAAAAAACGTGAAAATTGTGAGCCAAAAGGTTACTAACTCCCATGAACAGGGAGTCAAATCACTCCTAACAAGACATAAGTTGCAAATTTTAAGATGTAGACTCCCCCAGTTGTACAATAGTTAAGCATTCAGGCCACATGTTCTCCAACTTCAAACCACTTGTAAGTGATGCTGATGGAGGAAACTCATGCACCAGTAGCAGGATATTTACAGGTATCTCAACTTCAAGACCCCTCAGTCTGCTTGGTTTGCCACAATCCTAAAGGGGTGTACCCACGCATTTTTTTATTATGTGGTCTCAATTAATCTGTAATGAGTTTCAATTCCCTTATTTGTTGCAGAGTAGTGGGAAAATATCAGCAACTCTTTGAATTCTCAGGTAAGAGGGCCTTCCCTGATGAGCCTTAAAATCACCTCCTTAATTTGAAAGTGGTGAAACCAAATAATTGTATCTCTTGGAGCTTCTGTTTTGGACCTACAAGCCAGCTTTGCCTGATAAAACCAATATGTCGGATAAGGTCAAAAATGTCCAGCAATTTGGCCCTAGAAATGACAATTATTACCTACAGCAGAGGGCTCTAATCAGGCTTCTCCAGGAGCACCCTCTCTTGACCTGCTGGAGAGATCCTCCAGAGTGGCTTCTACCATTATATGTTACAGAAGAGAATTAGAGTGGTCAGTTATCATATTATGGCCACAGCAATCCTCTCAATGCTGTTGTTCCAAGGCAGCAGTTTGTGACCCCAAGGTCTGAATCTTTAACCTCCTGGTTGTATTCTATCTCTTTGGCCTTCATCATCAGAGTCTGGCTTGTGTCCTTGTGTGAGGTAAGTATGTGACCAGATCCCTCTGGTAAGGCTGGTGAAAAGGAACTGTATGGGCTCACCCATTCGCTATCTTGGGATGCTTGTTGTACAGCTCTCAAAGCCGCAAACATGTGTGTGACTGAATTACTACTTTCATGTGGCCTCTTTGCAGACTTTCAAGGTGTCTGCATTTCTTCAGCTTTATAAGAGGTAAAAGTGGTTAGAAGTCAGTTCCATTCTGAAAGTAAATTCCAGGGAAGGGAGGGGAGAGGAACACTAAGGGACAAGGATTGGGAGGGGACAGTAACACTAAGGGACAGGAAAGGGAGGGAGGGAGGGGAGAGGAACACTAAGGTGGTTGGGTGGGACCACTAAGAGACAGGGAAGGGAGGGGAGTGGACCACTAAGGAGGGGGGGGGACACAAGGGACAGGGGAGGGAGGGGATATGAACACTAAGGGACAGGGAAGGGATAGGAACACTAAGGGACATGGAGGGAACGGGACAGTAACACTATGGCATAGGAAAAGGACGGGAAAAGGACCACAAAGGGATAGGAAGGGGAGAGGAATACTAAAGTACAGGGAGGTGACCACTAATGGACAAGAAGGGGAGAGGAAAACTGAAGGACATGGAGGGGAGAGTAGCACACAGGGGGGCCTGTGTGGGGAGAAAAATTCACAATGGGACATGAGGGGGGAGAAAGACACATAGATGGGCCTGGAGGTGAGAAAGATGCACAGCAGGGCTGGGGATGAAAGAGACACACAGAAGGGCCTGGGGTGGTAATACAAAGGGGCTGGGAGTGAAAGAGACACAGAAGGGCTGGGGGGAGTAAGACACACAAAGGGGGGTTATAAGAAATACACAAGGGAGGTGTAAGACACACAAAGGGGGAAAATAGGGGATAAGATACACTAAAGGGGCTAAGAAATTTAAAAAGGGGGATAAAAAAACAAAAGGCAGGTTAAGAGGCATACAGGTGAAAAAGCTTTTTTTGGAGGGGAGCGCCAAAATCATCTTCTCCTGTGTACCCAAAAAATCCTTGCACCAGCCCTGACTGCCTACGCCTTAATGTCTCTATATGACTGTGTCTATGTGTAAGTATGACTGTATGTCTGTATTGCAAAACTGAAAAAGCAATCACACTCAATTCACCTAAGACAAGGTGCTTAGCTGAACCAAGGGCCAGCACAAGCCCAGAAGATTATAAATACCAGTATTAGAAAAGGGGTCTAGGCACTCCAATGTCTTCAGGCACCTTTATTAGAACAAGTGGAATACTGCAACATTTTGACTCCATAGAGTCCACTGGGAGTTGAAACGTTGCAGTGTTCCACTTGTTTTAATAAAGGTGCCTGTAGACAGTGGAGTGCCTGGACCCTTTTTCTAATGCTGGTATTTCTATGTCTGTAAGTCCGAGTCTGCGTGTCTGTGTGCCTGTATGACTTTGTCTGTTTGTATGACAGTGTACCTGTATGTGTAGATTGTACGACTGTGTGCTTGTATGACTGTGTTTGTTTGGTTATGTGACTGCATATCTCTGTAACTGTGTACCTGAATAATTATCTCTGTGTGCCTGTATGGTTTTGTGTGTTGCTTTACATCTATGGCTTGGGAGGAAAAAGACACACAAAGGGAAATTGGCTGTGGGAAAGAAAGAGACACACAAAGAGTCATTACACTTGTGCAGCATGACAGGTCCTAAACCAAAAAAAACAAAAAAAAACAGACAAAGCTCAAAGCTTCACCCGGATCAGAAACGTTCTTTCGACCTGTCGGATGATTTGCTGGAGTCCATGCCGCCATGGTTGGAAGAGCAGGTTCTACTTTACTAAGCTCAGAAGTATTCACACACAAGGTAAGGAAGCTTCTACTGGACCTCAGGAAAGTCATCCAGTCAGATTTATCCTGATTTAGTATCCAGAATTAGTGCAGACCATAAGTGACTCGCACCAACAAGTTGGAGAAAAAGGTGGGCAAAATTGTTGAGTCTCTGGTGGATAAGGAGCTTGTCCATGCTCTAGTAATTTCCCAGGACTCAGGAAAACGGATACCAAAAAGAACAGGAATCAAAGTATAAAAACATAAAAACATAAATAAATAACAAGAAAAAGGAAACTCAAAATGCTGGAAAGTGGGGGGGGGAGGAAAAAACACTCCCGTATCCCACTGCCGAGCCTCCAGAGTATAGAGGTCACCTGGACTGGTAAAAGGGGGTAACCCTGGAAATTGTAGAAAAAAGGAAGAAAAAAAACCCAAAAAGGGATGTCTTATATAAAGACCGCCCAGAGGGTAAATACCCAGTCCAATCTCAACAGTAGTGTAGTTGCCAAAAAATAAAAAAGCCTTTATTGAAATCTATTAAAAACCTGGGTAATCAGTGATGGACAGAATAATATAGAGAGAAATATGTATGGTAGGAACAAGGCTAATCAAGAGCCAACCCTCACAAGAAACGGAGAGGGGATAGAAGGAAATATGTACCCCCATACATAACTCAGGTAACAAAGCAGTAGGAAAGAACAGGGAAAGGGAGAAACACACACTCCCAACCAAACAGTAGTGCTATGCTAATACCCTATCTCCTATAAAACACCTTCATGGGTGTTCTAATCTAAATACTGTCATAACATCTGAAGCCCCAGGTTACACACACATACTAGAAAAACATAAATGAAAAGGCGCTCAGAGCAAAGTGCTCAAGAGAGTATTTAAAAACACAGAAGAACCCGACGTACGTTTCGGCGTGACTACACGCCGTCCTCAGGGGTATCAGCAGTGAGCAAAAAGACTGTCCGGGTGGTAAATTTATACCTTAAGCTCATAAGCTTTGTTGTAATCACCTGTGATTGTGTCTAAATTGCTCCGGTCCTCCTGCGAATGGGGCTGTGGGGGTGTGGTGTAACACACCATAGTGTCAGCCCACATTTCTATGTCAGAGGTAGCCAGAACAGAAATCAGGTGAAAGGGAATTAACCCTTTGAGTGCCCCGCCCGGAACAGATATAAATGGATACTTACTATATCTAAAAGGCAGTATCCATAGCTTAACAGTTAACCCTTGGAATGTCCAAATTGTATCATATAGGTCAAGTGTGTGGATTGATTCTTATGGCTGTATTGTGTAGCTTTAGTACAATTAAAGAAACAACTTATAACCGTTGTGAACCAGTAAGGGATAAGTACAATGGCTATATGGGCAGTCATACACAGAAGCCGACAATTCTTTTATTGTCACTGTAAATAGTAACCCATTAGTTTATGCAACACAAAACAGACCCCTAAACTCTTAGACCTATAATACAGGTAAAATTAATGGACATATGAACACCAAATATAATAGAAATAAATAAAGAATATATACATATATACAGGCATAACTTAAGATACCATTTATTATCAGAATTATTGCAGTACTTTAAATAAACGGGGAATATGAAAACCCTTCATTTAGCCCCAGGGGAGATAGCGTTTTGAGATGGTAAATCCAAAACGCCTCTCTTTGTCTTAGTTTTAGGTCCCAGTTTCCTTTCCTAGGAGGCTGTGGTACATGTTCAAGACCCATGAACCGGATGCCTGCCGAGGAGTGATTGTGATGTAGATGTAAATGCCTTGAGACGGGTGTTTCCAAACGTCTCTTGACAGAATTTACATGTTCACGTATCCTTAGCCTGAAGTGGCGAAAAGTCTTGCCTACATATTTTAGGCCACAGGAGCAAGACAGTAGGTAAACTACTCCTGTTGTGTTACAATTAAAGAAGGAACGTGGTTTGAAATTCATTAAGCCCTTGCTGTCAGAGGCCCTCTTGGTAATAAACGGACATGCACTGCAGTGACCACATTGGAAAGAACCCATTGGTAGGTATTTTTGAAAATAACCTGACGGGGACGTAGTTGAGAGGTGACTAGGTGCTAGGATATCTCTCAAGTTTTTGCCCCTCCGTGCTGTAATTGAAGGGAGTGATGGCAGAATTTCCTTCAGATGCTTATCTGATTGGAGGATAGGCCAGAATTTTTGAAAGACATTCAGCATAGTGTCCCATCCTGCATCGTATGTACCTATGCAGCGTATTTTATTTTCCTCAGTCTTACGACCCCCATCTGTAATTAGGGTTTCCCGTTCAGTGTGGATTGCCCTCAGATAGGCTCTTTTTAGAACCCTATTTGGGTAACCTTTGGCCTTAAACATGTGACGCAGCTCATTTGCTTTTAATTTGAACTCCTCCATCGTGGAGCAGTTTCGTCGAAGTCTCAAATATTGGCCTATTGGGATACCGGATTTGAGTGATATGGGGTGATGACTAGACCAGCATAGCAGGTTATTTGAGGCTGTCTTCTTTCTGTACAAGGTTGTTTCAATTTTGCCTTCTTTAGATACCTGTAGTGCTAGATCTAGAAAGCAAAGGTTTTGACCCCCTACTTCACTAGTGAATCGTAAGTTAAAATCGTTGCTGTTCAGCAGACATACAAATTCTTTGAATCTCTCTGATGTATCAAGCCAAATCAAAAACACATCATCGATGTATCTTTTCCAATAGAAGATCTGATTAGTGTATGATTTCAGCTTAGGATCTGCCCTAATACACCTTTCCCACCAGCCTAGATGGAGATTGGCATATGAGGGCGCACAAGACGTCCCCATAGCTGTACCAGTGGTCTGGTGGAAGATTTTGCCATTGAACAGAAAGATATTACGAGTCAAAATGAATTCAAGTAATTCCATCACAAAATTCACATAATGTTCAGGTAGGTCAGTTTCAAGATTTAATAGTTGACGGGTATGTTTAATACCTAGGTTATGAGGAATTGAGCTGTAAAGGGCCTCCACGTCAAGGCTACACAGGATAGCGTTTGGAGGTAAAGTAAGGTTGGTCAATAAATGCAACATTTGTTTAGTATCTCTAAGGAAAGATGGTAGCTTCTGTACTACTGGGGACAGAATTTTATCCACATAAATGCTTACATTCTGAGTTAGATTATCACAACCAGAAACTATCGGCCTACCGGTCGGATCGGTTAGTGATTTGTGCACTTTAGGCAAACAATAAAAAGTAGATAGACATGGTTGTTTGGTGCACATAAATTCAAACTCATCCTGATTAATGAGTTGATGATTCACAGCCTTAGTAAGCATAGTTTTTAACTCAGCTTGGAACGCTTTTGTAGGATCTTTTGCTAGTATGCGGTAAGTATTTTTATCGGATAAAAGTCTTTCAGCTATACGAATGTAGTGGTCTCTGTCAAGTATCACCACATTGCCCCCTTTATCAGAGGGTTTGAAAATCAAATTTGTATAGCTCTGTAGTTTTTTCAGGGCTATTAGTTCCTGAGTATTAAGGTTGCCATTAGGGGATAGATAAAAATCATCCATTTTTGTCTTATCTATTTCCCTAGTAACCATTTCCAAAAATACCTCCAAATTTTTATAGTCCTGAAAATGAGGGGTAAACTTACTCTTGGGTTTCAAATTAGTATGTGGTATATTAGATTGTATAGTACCATCTCCAGAGTTAAGTAATTCCACCAGAGTGTCTAAGCACTCCAAGTCATTTGGTAATAGACCCAAGCTTTGGGCCTTAGTTTCTTTACGTACTGCGTGGTATTTATACAAGGCAAGCTTTCTCACAAAAAGGTTTACATCCTTAGTCCAGTTGAACTTGCTAAATGTTGGAATGGGTACGAATGAAAGACCCTTCTCCAATACGCTAAGTTCGGTCTGACCAAGGATGGTATCAGAGAGATTAATAATACGCAGAGAGGATGCTATCATTCCCTGCGTCGTCTCTGACTTCTGCCCCTGTATCTGGTGTGCGGACCCTGAGTTAGATCCGCTTGTCTTAATCCTAAAAAATCCACCCCCTTTTTTAGAATACTTTTAGTTGGATTCCTAGGAGTAGGGGTTTGAGGTTTTTCAGTTTCAGTATCGGTTGATTCGTACTCAGATGTACTGAATTGGTCAGAGTCTACTTTAGATCTCTTTTTAAAAGAACGGTAAATTCTACCTTGTTCAAAGTCCTTTGTATCTCTCATATACTTCTGGTGTTTCCTCACTTTTATAATGTGAGAGAATTTGTCCAGATTGGATTTGAGTTTTATCTCTAGTGATTCAAATTGTGGTTCTACTTTAAAACCCTGGACCACCTCAATCTCTTTATCCAGTTCTAGTTGGACATTGGATAGTTTAATAGACTCATATTTACAAATAATACTCATGAACGTATTTGAGCATTTAGTAGCTGCCTCATCCCATTCTTTATAGAAGTCTTCCATCTCGACTTGTCTTGATGGAGAGGTCTGAACTCTTAGCCCTCTAGAGATGATATTTTTAGAGATGTATTTCTCGAGAGTGGAGACTTCC